CCGACCAGCAGGTAGAGGGTAGAATGACACTCAAAGTGAGTGTGTGCTGGGCCCCATCTTTATACCCATGGGGTCACGTATTTCTCTTTCTTATCTGTCATGCCAAATGGGGCTGGTCTGTCTTTTGTGAGACCAGTTCTTACAAGGGAGTTGTGAACTTAATTTACACTTGTAAGAGAGATAACTAAATTGGAATTACTGGGGATTCTTTTCTCAGTGGGAAATTCCTCTCCCAGGGACTGTGTGTGTGTTCGAATCAACATGGGTGCCAGCCGGGGGCAGTTCTCGCAGCCTCGAGGCCAGCTTATTGACTTAATCACTCTCTCTCCACATATCTGTGTTTTCAGCTTCTCAGGATCAGATGAGCCAGCATAGACTATGCTGATTTTACTGCTCCTTCTCTGCCCTGTATGCTTCAGAGAGGCAAATAAGATGGATGAGATGGGGGTGGGGGCAGTCTGTCTGGCTACAGCTGCCAGCAGCAGCCTTTGTGTGACTTTGTGTGATTTCCAGTCTGGCTCTTGTGGCCAGCCTGGCCTTTGATTTGGTGCCCCTCCAGGGTTGCACAGAATCTATCACTTTTACACCTTGTGAGCGTGTTTCCCTCAGGTTTGGCCGCACCCCTTCTTGGAACTTCATTTTCTGTTCAGAAGATCCACCTGTGACATGACCACGGAGATCATTGTGCTACTGCTGTTAAATAAGATAAACAGTCATCACATCAGAACATTCCCATTGACGTAGCACTCAGCACACTTCACAAAAGGTTTATTGCAGCTGTGTATGTCCATTCTTTTTGAACTAGAACAGGCTGAGGTCTGGCAAAATGGTCAAACACTGGGTACCAATTAACCAGGAAAGCACATTCCTGAGCAGGAAGAGGCCAATCAACACACAAATATCCGCAGTAGCTGCAAACATGTCCTAAGAAATGGCTCAGAAAGACACTAACCCTTGTGCACAAGAGTGGGATGAGGGGATAATGGATACGGACATTTTGTTCAAAGAAACAGGTAGGAGGCTAAGAGGGTAGAACACACGGAACAACATGCATCTCGTTTGTGTCAATGTATGAGAAGTCACAGGAGGGGCATGTTGATGCTGGCTGAGGGGCAGCATTCTCACTGCTGACTGAGCTGGTACTGTTATTGGGTTGGAACAAGTCTCTCTATACCTGTGCCTGAGGAGCTGGGACACTAGCACCGTGCTCCTTTTCACAATAAACTTGGCCGAGTGCCTTAGCCTCCAAATGGAGCCT